CTCAAATACATTTTTAGTATCAGGAAAAAATCTGATATTTGGGGAAAATTATCATATGGGGTAGTAATATACAATCCTGACTTTTCCCTTTGTAAACAACAAAAGTATTTTGCACTTCTGGCAGGTCGTTTGTGTGTAGTCGTTCTTGCACAGTCTGCATCGCCCACGTTTATCAGCATGGATGGGAGAAAAGGCTCCTGAGTAAAAAAAGGCTCATAAATAATTTGAATTTAGCTGTTGCAAATCTGCAGCGCCTGCCTGGAGAGGGTTAACCATGTTAGAGTTGTTTCCTTCTCGCTGCCCACGTTTACATGATGTTTTTTGATTCCAAATTAATTGTTCTGAATGAAATAGTTCTGAAATAAAAAAAAATATTTTCCTTCGAGTTTACATGGGAAGAATTGAGGTTTACATGGAAAACACGTTAAATCGTCTTTATTTAATTCCGCTCAACGTCTGGGGGTGGGGAAGGTTCTGATTGGACAGAGACACCAACATATTTACATGAACTGAATAAAACCCACACACTTCAGCTGCGGCTTTTCTGTCATCTCAGTTTGTCGTTACGCCACAGACACAAACACCATCCAAACTTTTTCTGCAGTTGTTTTGATGATAATGGAAAGCTGGAGAATTGTCTCATCACACTTTACGTCTGTCAGCTGAGAAGGAGAAGAGAAGAGTGTCGGAGAAGGAGGAAGAAGACAAACTGAGTGTGAGGCTGCTCTACCTCAGCTCACTCCCACATCCCCAACGTCTGAAGCCAGGACTGGTGGAGCCGGATTGTCGCAGAAGGACGACACAACGAGCATGCGCCGAAGCACCCACATTATTTTTAACAAGAATAAACGTGAAACATGATCCAGGAATAAATTCATTCGGCTTCAACATGGGAAATAAACCACTAACTTACTTCAGAATTAAGTTTAATTACAAATAATCATTTTCATTTGGAATTAAGTGTTCACATGGTCTTTTTAAATTCTTACGGAAGCCCTGAGAGGCAAGAGGAAAAGAAAAAAAGGCAGATCATTTGGGCTCTATTTTCTAAGATTTTTTTTTTGTTTGTTTGTTTTTCACCAACTCAAAAAAAAAAAAAAAGTTTTTTTCTACTTTTTTTTTTTTTTTTTTTTCTAAAAAAAATGTTTGTTTTTTTTCAGAGCTAAGTGTTTTCTTGGTGTATTCCTGTAAGAACCACACTTCAGCTCCAGCAAACCGCTGGAGATTTGACTTATGGCGTTAGGTTCTGGGATTGGGACGTGGGAGGTCGGGGTTCAAATCTCACCTGGTCCGGGTTGTGCGTTTTTATTCTAGCTGAATACAGTCTTTCCATGAGTTTTATGTTTTATGTTCTGTTTTATGAGTAATATGAGAAGTAAGATCGATGCATCACTGATTCTGTGAGAGCGAGAGTGGGGATCACTGCTCCAGGCTGGAAGACAGAACACCACACTGTCTCTGGTTTTAGCGGGACTGAGGTGCGCCCTGATGTGTAGAGCGGCCATGTTTCCCGGGAGCAGACATCAACAGCGGAAAAAAAAACAAAAAAAAAATGTTGAAAAAAATGTATAGACATTTTTTTTTTTTTTTGGAGTTGATGAAAAAAAACAAAAAACACTTAGAAAATAGAGCCCAAATGACCTGCCTCTTTTTTTTTTCTCTTGCCTCTCAGGGCTTCCGTAAATTCTTCTTCAGAATTAAATTATTTTTATTTGGAATTAAAGTTCTTATGGAAACTGCTGTAGTTTTATTTCGAGTGGCTTATGCCTGTTTGAGTAAACTTTAATTCACCTGCACTGGTACACATCCACTGACAGATTTACTTCTTGTATCTGTAGGATTCAGCAGCGTGGCGTGTTGTGGTTGTGATATAAAATGTCCAGATGATGACAGAATGATCCACGGGTGTCATAGATTCTAACTGCAGAGCACACAAACATGATATGTCTCTTTAAAGTTCATTCTTCCTGATCCTGAGGTCTCTGCTTCTCATCGCCTTCTGCCTCATCAAACTTGTATGTGATTTTAGACCAGAATAAAAGCTTTTGTTATATATAAAAGGCAGAAGGATGATTCACTCTCCACTACTCAAACAGCCCACAGATGTTATCAGGCATTTACTATGGTGATAAAAGGTTCCGTTTTTAAAAACTAAAACTAAATGAGGTGTGAACAACCGACTGTATAAAGAAGTGGAGGGTGGTCAGGACTTGTTGTTATGAGCCTCGGGCATATTTGGAAATCCAACTGCATCGACACTATCCATCAAACCTGCTGCGAACATGAGGGACAGAGGGCAGCTCATTGGTCTGTTATTCATGTTCATATCTTGATTTAGAGACAAAATGGTGAAATAAAAAGGCAGATGCTATTTGCACCCTGGGTGTAAATATCTAACATTGTTATTCACACACAGGGCAAATAGCCATTGTTGCTATTTACACCTGGGTGTATTTATCATGGCACATAGAAGAGCACCTGGGTGTTCCTAGACAAAAATGCTATTTATACCCAGGTTATTTATAAAAAAAATAAATAAAAAAATCACTGACAGTAATATTTGATGTTTTTTTTACTCAAAATGATGCAGAATCATTGATCAATCATTTACAGTCTGCGCCTAATGGTTTAGTCCCGGTTAAATCTTGTTTTAGTCCTGTTTTAATCCTGGTTTAGACTTGGTTTTAGTCTTGATTTTAGTCCTGGTTTAAAACTGGTTTAGTTCTGATTTAGTCCTGATTTTATTCTTGGTTTAGTCCTGGTTTAACTTCTGGTTTAGTCCTGGTCTTAGTTCTGGTTTTAGTTGTGGTTTAGAGGCGCACGGGAAGAGGCATGGTCCATGCGGCGCATGGGAGAACACGAGGTGTACGGGAGGAAATGCGGTGCACGGGAGCAGGAAGAGACGCATACGGTCTATGGATCCACGTAGTGTATGTGAGAAGGGGTAACGCCAAGGTAAGGGGCCTCTGTTGGTTCACGGGGCCCTACTCACTGTGTGTACTGTGCCTATTGTGTGAACCGGTACTGACAGTGTGACAGCGTGGGGCCATGTGAAAAAATCCATGATAACCAACAGGTTTGGAAAGGCTGGACTGCTGCGTGAAGAAAAGGACCGCACACGAGCAAGGGACAATCTGCCTGGAGACCAAAGTGACACGGGAGCCGACGTAAATAAAGCAACTGTACATGAGTGAAATGATGCTGTTGAATAAAGAGACGCGCTGAACCTGCACACGTACGATCTGCACATGTATGATCTCTGTAAAGTTTAACATGAACCATCTCCAGAACAGACTCATCATCCGTCCGACAGAAGCTCCGCATCAGGGCACAGAGCCAACTGTTTTTTTCGGCGGGTATTTTATACAGATTGGCCTTGTGGCGTTAAGTTTCGATTTTGTGCACAAAGCTGCATTAAATACATTATAATCTCAAACGGGCTGATGTCGTTCTGTAGTAGTTATGGTGCTTACGAGGGCCATATTCTTACATTTGAACCACTTTTAATATTACCATTGTCTTACTCGAGGCTGAACTTGAACTGCTGAATAAACTGATCAACTAGCATAACCGTTAACTATACATCGCACAAGCTAAATAAACTGTCCATGATGCTGTGATGCTTCAACTTAATTACCCAAATCGTAATAGTCGGACAGGCATTGCAAATATATTTTGTAGCAACACTGTCTTACTTTTGACCTTACCCTACCTTCGTTTTAAATTGTATTTCTTTGGATTCTCAAATCCAGCTTCCTGCACTTTTCACAGGAAATGATGTAAGCGACACGTCACCATTCCCTTTTTTCTTGAGACGGTGTAAATAGAAGAATCGTGTCCATTGAACTATTAACACCCAGGGTGCAAATAGACACTCTGAAATAAAAACCCCGACAGTCAGTGGTGCCCATGTTCACTTCCTGTTTCGAGCTCTGTGTCGTGTGCGTTAGTTATGTCCAGAGATCTACAGGCTTTAGTGTGAACACAGTCGCCTTTAGGAGAAAAACTAAATATGTCACAGACTCATGTGAGCAGCGACTGTTGTTAACCTGATTAAACCACTTCACTCCTGAGGGCATTCCATGCGCCCTCTGTTGGCATCATATAGTCACCTATGTCCAGTGTTGGGGAGTAACAGATTACATGTACCAGAGTTATGTAATCAGAGTACAAATGATGAGTAACTGTATTTGGTTACAGTTACTGTTTCGGTGAGTTGTAATTGGATTACAGTTACTTTGTTGAAATAAATGGATTACATTGCTGTATTTTCCTGTTTTCACATTTGGGCTAAACCAGGACTAAACCAGGACTAAACCAGGACTAAACCAGGTCTAAACCAGGACTAAACCAGGACTAAACCAGGTCTAAACCAGGACTAAACCAGGACTGAACCAGGACTAAACCAGGACTAAACCAGGACTAAACCAGGACTAAACCAGGACTAAACCAGGACTGAACCAGGTCTAAACCAGGACTAAATCAGGTCTAAACCAGGACTAAATCAGGACTAATCCAGGTCTAAACCAGGACTAAACCAGGACTAAACCAGGACTAAACCAGGTCTAAACCAGGACTAAATCAGGTCTAAACCAGGACTAAACCAGGACTAAACCAGGTCTAAACCAGGACTAAACCAGGTCTAAACCAGGACTAAATCAGGTCTAAACCAGGACTAAACCAGGACTAAACCAGGTCTAAACCAGGACTAAACCAGGTCTAAACCAGGACTAAATCAGGTCTAAACCAGGACTAAACCAGGACTAAATCAGGTCTAAACCAGGACTAAACCAGGACTAAACCAGGTCTAAACCAGGACTAAACAGTATGACTCTTAACATGAGGTTGGACATACTTTACAGCAGCAGTGATCTCATATAAAAGTAATTTCTCTATCAATAATATTTTTAATATGGTTAAGTAGAGTCTGGGCTTTTTATTTTCTTTTATCAGATAAAACATCTTATGTTCAGATCCTCGTCTTTGCTTCTCTACAGTAAACAAAAGTCTGTTCATGGAGACTTGGGCTCAACAGACAATTTGAAGAGAACAAACAAGAATTTTCAGGATGTGTTTTTTACATTCATGTAGTTTTAAAAAACATGATAATATCAAGTAATCCAAAGTATTCAGATTATGTTACTCACTTTAAGTAATTTAATGGATTCTGTTACAAACTACATTTTGGAGTATGTAATCTGTAATCTGTAGGGGAATACATTTTAAAAGTCACCTTCCCAACAGTGTGATGGGTGAGTGGTTTTGTTTGTTTGTTCGTTCACGGTGACTCTGGGCTTTGTTCAGTTGTGGCGTGTAGGGAGGGTGTGTCTGGGACCAACGGATTGTCGGCGTGTTCGCAGTGACTCAGTTGTTCAGTTGTGTCTAGAAGTGGCACATTGCACTCGTGGCTTTTTCGGTTCTGTTCCTCGTCGGCGTGGAGTGATGAGTGTGTCTGTGGGTGTGTTTGGCTGTGCGGTCGCTGTCTGCTCCGTGTGTGTTTGTGTGTTCTGTGTGTGTTTGCAGCTTTGTAGTTTACTCAGTTTGTGTTTGCTGGGACACCTGAGTGGATTTGTGTATAGTGGCTCTGGATTGCGGGGCGTGCAGTCATTTTTTGATGGGGTTGGAGGTTTTTGAGCACACCCTACAGTTTGGAAAATACGGTAGTTCTGTTTTTCACAGTTTTAACTAAACCAGGTCTGAACTGGGATTAAATCAGGTCTAAACCAGAAATGTAACTCAACCGATCATCATGAGCGCTCGTACTGATCACAGGCTCCTGAGGATGTGTTCCTTAAACCTGTTGTTAGCTTCTGTGTGTACTGTGTTGCCATGGTAACATTCCACCACACACATACACGTAGAACACCCCCAGCATGATGTCACTGCAAAGTTTCAAATAACATGTAGGTCTTTTGGACTCACTTGGCGTGTTCTTATCTCTGGCCCTCACTCGTCCGAAGGGCCCCTCAGTGACCCAGAACTTGCTCACGTCTCCCACAAAGTCCTGAAGAACCTCCTTCCTCTCACAGCTCGTCTCCTCCATACCTGCAACAAAACGAGAACTGAACCAGGACTGAACCAGGACTGAACCAGGTCTAAACCAGGACTGAACCAGGACTGAACCAGGTCTAAACCAGGACTGAACCAGGACTGAACCAGGTCTAAACCAGGACTGAACCAGGACTGAACCAGGTCTAAACCAGGACTGAACCAGGACTGAACCAGGTCTAAACCAGGACTGAACCAGGACTAAACCAGGACTGAACCAGGACTGAACCAGGACTAAACCAGGACTGAACCAGGACTCAACCAGGACTCAACCAGGACTGAACCAGGACTGAACCAAGTCTAAACCAGGTCTAAACCAGGACTGAACCAGGACTGAACCAGGTCTAAACCAGGTCTAAACCAGGACTGAACCAGGACTAAACCAGGTTTAGACCGGAACTAAACCAGGACTGAACCAGGACTGAACCAGGACTAAACCAGGTCTAAACCAGGTCTGAACCAGGACTGAACCAGGTTTAGACCGGAACTAAACCAGGATTGAACCAGGACTAAACCAGATTTAGACCAGGACAGAACATGGCCTGAGGGAGGAGCAGACAAACACATGATCACCTGAGTTTGCAGTATTTGAATACTGTATATGTTTGGGAGGAAACCTCTGGGTATTTTGATGTACTGCATGTTTATAGTCTATTACCGCACAAGCAGGTAAAAGTACTTTTAGTGTGAGTGTTTTAACGTAGATCTAAGTTTAAGCGGGACTGGAGGTATAAGGAACTGGATCTATCTGGATCTAACAGGTATCCACAGTTTAAACTCCGCCCCTCCTGCTGTTTGTGTCAGAAACACTTGGCTGTACCCGGGGCACTCCTGTGTAATGTTACATAGTACTTGAGATTACAGAGGCCACTGAATGCAGTACTCAGATGTAGGTGCTTGTGACCAGAAAGCTGCAAATGTACCTACTTTTTCACTAAAATGAAAAAGAACTTACTGTTATTCAAAGACCATACACACAGTTTAGTAGAGAAACTTGGATTTAGTGTTTCGTTCCTCTTTAAATATGGATGTGTTTTTCATCACGGCTGTTTGCAGTGTGCATTACCTTCAGTTAGGTGTAGATGTGTACTGTGTGTGTGTTTGTGAGAGTGTGTATTACCGTGGTCGGCGACAATGATGATGTTGACGCAGCGATGAAGGCCAAGCTGCTGCAGACCGTTCATGAGATGAGCCAGGATCAGGTCCACCCCCTGAAGAGCTTCTATCAGCTAGAAGAGACCAAAACCACATCTGAACCAGGACTAAAACAGGACTAAACCAGGACTAAAACAGGACTAAACCACATCTGAACAAGGACTAAAACAGGTCTGAATCAGGTCTGAACTGGGACTAAACCAGGACTAAACCACCTGTTGTAATTCCAACTAAACCAGTTCTTTCTGGTCAGATTGTGTGAAAAGAAGCAGAGTGCACAGTTAGCATCACACCTCCACAGAATGCTGACACCAACTCCAAAGAATCAATTAAAGACAGGATTCATGTGGCAGACCTCATGTTTTTTCCCCCAAACTCAGAGCAGAAGTACTGACCTCATGAGCTGTTCACAGCATCTCCTTTCACCACATTGTGAGGAACACAAACATCTAACCCATATATTTGGCCTGGGCTGTGGTTAACACCTTTTTAAACCACAGTCAGTGAGAATTCTAAGGCTACGTGCTGTACATGCTGCTGCATTCATGTGCTCCTCCCTGGATTCTGAGATGAGACATGTCCAGGTTCTGACTTAGGGAGATGGGATTTTGATGTCACCATGAATAAAGTTTCTGAGCGTGCTCATGAACAGAGGTTAAAAGAGCCACAGGAGGCTAAGAGCCTTCTAAACCTTAGCTTGTTTACTTGAGCTAGTTACTGTTACATCAGTAATTCATCAAATACTTGCTGTTTGTCTATCAGATGTTATGTGTGTGTTCTTACTGACTTGTTTTGGTCAAATTGTGTTGGAATAGGGCTCAGATTGAAGTCTGTCTTAGGTGACGGGGCCTCAGAAAAAAACCCTGTCTGCTCTGGCATCACAAACACACGGAATGTGTCAAAAGGGAAATATTTTGAAAAAGTGAGGAAAAGAATGAGGAAGCAGTTGTAAAATGATGTGAGAATACAAGTGTGAAGGTGCAGAGTAACATAAAGGAAAGCAGCAGTCCTCTCCTGACCATCTCTTCATGACATGTGTTTTCACACTGTAAACACTGTACACACTGTACACACTGTACACACTCTACACACTGTACACACTGTACACACTGTAAACACTCTACACACTGTACACACTGTACACACTGTACACACACTGTACTGTACACACTGTACACACTGTACACACACTGTACACACTGTACACACTGTACACACTGTACACACTGTACACACTGTACACACTGTACACACTGTACACACTGTACACACACTGTACACACTGTAAACACTGTACACTGTACACACTGTACACACTGTACACACTGTACACTGTACACACTGTACACACTGTACACACTGTACACACTGTACACACTGTAAACACTGTGCACACTGTACACACTGTAAACACTCTACACACTACACACTGTACACACTGTACACACTGTACACACTGTACACACTGTACACACTGTAAACACTCTACACACTGTACACACTGTACACACTGTACACACTGTACACACTGTACACACTGTAACACTCTACAACACTGTACACACTGTACACACTGTACACACTGTACACACTGTACACACTGTAAACACTGTACACACTGTACAACACTGTACACACTGTACACACTGTACACACTGTACTACACACTGTACACACTGTGCACACTGTAAACACTCTACACACTGTACACACTGTACACACTGTAAACACTCTACACACTGTACACTGTACACACTGTACACACTGTACACACACTCTACACACTGTACACACTGTAACACACTGTAAACACTCTACACACTGTACACACTCTACACACTGTACACACACACTGTAAACACTGTACACACTGTACACACTGTACACACTGTACACACTGTAACACACTGTACACACTGTAACACACACTGTACACACTGTACAACACTGTACACACTCTACACACTGTACACACTGTACACTGTACACACTGTACACACACACTCTACACACTGTACACACTGTACACACACACTCTACACACTGTACACACTGTACACACTCACTGTAAACACTGTAAACACTCTACACACACTGTAACACACTGTAAACACTCTACACACTGTACACACTGTACACACTGTACACACTGTACACACTGTACACACTGTACACACTGTACACACTGTAACACACTGTAACACTGTACACACTGTACACACTGTACACACTGTAAACACTCTACACACTGTACACACTGTAAACACTCTACACACTGTACACACTGTAAACACTCTACACACTGTACACACTGTACACACTGTACACACTGTACACACTGTAAACACTCTACACACTGTGCACACTGTAAACACTCTACACACTGTACACACTGTAAACACTCTACACACTGTACACACTGTACACACTGTACACACTGTAAACACTCTACACACTGTACACTGTAAACACTCTACACACTGTAAACACTCTACACACTGTACACACTGTAAACACTGTAAACACTCTACACACTGTAACACTCTACACACTGTACACACTGTAAACACTGTAAACACTCTACACACTGTACACACTGTACACACTGTACACACTGTAAACACTCTACACACTGTACACACTGTACACACTCTACACACTGTAAACACTCTACACACTGTAAACACTCTACACACTGTAAACACTCTACACACTGTACACACTGTACACACTGTACACACACACTCTACACACTGTACACACTGTACACACTGTACACACTGTAACACTCTACACACTGTACACACTCTACACACTGTACACACTGTAAACACTCTACACACTGTACACACTCTACACACTGTACACACTGTACACACTGTAAACACTCTACACACTGTACACACTGTACACACTGTACACACTGTACACACTGTACACACTGTACACACTGTACACACTGTAAACACTCTACACACTGTAAACACTGTACACACTGGATACACTGTACACATTGTGCACACTGCTCCTCACTGCTCCATCCTGAAGGACTGTCGACTTTTATGTTTAACTGTCAGATTGCAGCAACAGTAGTAGTAGTAGTAGTAGTAGTAGTAGTAGTAGTAGTAGTAGTAGTAGTATTAACAGCAGCAGCAGTAGGCTTAGTAATGGTAACAGCAGTAGTAGTAGTAGAAGTTGTACTAGCAGTAGTATTTGTTGTTCCTGAGTACAGAGTAGTACTGTGACTAGTAATAGCAATAATAGAAAACCTTAATAGTAGTAGTAGTAGCAGTAGTAGTAGTAGTAGTAGTAGTAGTAGTAGTAGTAGCAGGAGGAGGAGAAGTCATAGCAGCAGTAGTAATGGCAGTAATAGTAACAGCAGCAGTAGTAGTAGTAGTATTAGTAACAGCAGCAGTAGTAGTAGTAGTATTAGTAGTTGTTGTTGGTGAGTACAGTTCGTGACCTGATCTCATCTGTGTTTATTGTCACATTAAGTGGCACTTTCAGTCTCTGATTAAAATCACACGATGTTTAATCACAGTTTTATGGGTCGATAAAAGAGTCCAGAGTCCTGCCTCAGACCTGACACTGATACATCCAGATAACACTGAGGAGAGACCACGCAGCTGTTCACACAAACTGAGAGAGGAGGATAGGAAGTGAGCATGAGCCTGGCTCAGCTCTACTGATTCCAATTCAAAAAAAAAAAAAAAAAAAAAAAAGGCTTCTCTCTCTGAAACTGCTGCCTCAGACTCCTCATTCTGACCATAAAACACTGCTTCACTCATCACTTGGATTTCCAAATATGTAACTCCAACTTAACTGCTATATGTGCTAGCCTCAATGAGCTTCATTTGACCAGAGCTGAACACTGTTACACTCCCTGAGTCCACTTCAGTCTAGAGCAGACGTGGGCATTGTCCAGCTCCAGGGTCACATACAGCTCTGTGACTCTGACCGACTCCTTTAGGCTCATTTACAGATCATTTGATCATTTGACCTCATGCACAGACTAAAGCTGCACTGTTTTTATTTTAGAGCTGGTTTTTAAAATGACATTTTTTGTTCGGCAGCATCAGTTTTTCATTGCTTAGTCAAACATGAACTCTTCAGTCTGAGCAGCTCGTCTGAACAATGAGATTTTCCGCTTTTTATAAAGAATCAGAATTGAGTTGAGCATTTGGGCCTCCACAATATTTTCTGTTTCTCACGTGGCCCCATGGAAAAAAGAATTGCCCCCCCGATCTCTGGGTTTAGTTTAAATTTTTTAAGTTTTAAGTTTTTGTCTGATATAATCTAATCTTGATTTCAACCTGGTCTGGATCTGGTTCTTGATTCTTCTGCTTGTTTGTACTTTCAGAGCTGTATTAAGCCAACCACACACACACACACACACGCATACACACACACACACGCATACACACACACACACACACATACACACACACACATACACACATGCATGGGCACTGTGCCACTGACTCATATGGATAATACCGGTTTACGTAATTTGAGTGAAAGGTTTAAAACACCATGCAGGTATTTAGACAGGATCATGCAGGTGATCAGACACCTGCTTGGCTGTTAGAGAATTTTGTGTTAGAAGTATTACTCATTTAAAGTATGAATCATTTAAAGTATTAATCATGATACAATATAAGATTATCAACATTCCTTTGTGTTTTGTTCAAACTGTATGTAAACATGAAAACATCAGCTGATCTTGCAGATGCACCAGCTGACTCATTAAGATAATGTACCGGGAGAAACAACTAATAATGGTGAACATCATGAGGTTAACACAGGACTCTGGAGAATTGCTAGAGGCTATCTACAACCTGGAGTGTGAAATCTGTGTGTAATGGGGGGCTGTGTCAGCGGAAGCTTGTCAGTCATGAGAACAATAGGTACTGTAATGAATGTAAACTATTGTGTGATAATTGTGTGTTCTACAATAAAAGGACTTTGGAGAGAAGAGAGCTTCAGTTAGGATGAGACAGGCAGCTCTCTCCTACTCCTTGCGCAAGTAAAACGAACCACTGTGTCTCTGCATGTTCTTTAATGATTGAGGTCG